GGCATCGCCCACAGTGCGATCGCCCGCACTCGGAACGCAGGCACATTAGTGCCTGCATTCCGGTCCAGTGCGATCTGCAAAAATAGTGCTCGCAGCATTTTTGCGGATCGCACTGGACAGGAACACAGGCACTAATGCAGGCGATCGCACTGTGGGCGAGGGGCCTGCCTGCGCAGCCTACGCCCCCTCCCGCCCCTGAATGCAGGTGTTTTTTCGTTGGTAGATCTCAATGAGCTCGTCATTTGAAAAGTAGATCTCCAGACGAAAAATAGTGGGCGCCCCTGCTCTAGACAGACCCTACAGCTCTGCCTGGGCACAGCTTTCAAGGACAGGAGGATATGACAAACTAGATAGCTGCATAAAGAGACCAGCTCAGCAGCATGTAGATAAAGCCTTGATTAACCGCTTGCTGTCCGCCAGTTGTGAAAAAACGGACAGACAGCAAACTCCCATGGGCGGGTTGTCGTAATAAGACGGCTTTTTTTTTCTGCTGACGCACGCCCCCCGGTCCGCGCGCACGTGCAGAAAAACCCATCCAATCTGCACAGCCTTTGTAGCCGTCAATTGCTTGTATGTTGTGGCTGCTCGCCCTTCCTCGAGTGCCGCGGCCCCCTCTCCATCAGCAAGGAGGAAGATGGGAGGGAGATCAGCACGTTCCTCCTTGCTGATCTCCCTCCGACGTCTGAATGCAGAAGTAATGTGTATTACATCACTTCCAAATTCACCTGTTAGTCATCTGGCTGCTATAGCCAGAGAGAAGAAGCGGATGAAGCAGATATCTGCTTCATCAGCTTCTTTGGGGGTCCCCAGGTGACAGGGGTCTTAGAGACCCCTAATGTCTCCATAAAGAGGACCTGTCTGTGTTTGCTATTATATAAGGGGATTGTTATCCACCCTATGTGATAGCAATAACATTAAGTGTAAAAAAATAAAAAATAAAAATTTGTAAAAAAAATAAGTCACATATAAAAAAGTAACCCCCCCCCAAATGTTTAAGTCCCCCATCCCCACGTTTACGCACATATAAACGTAAATACGCGTCCGGTGCCCCAGCGCGCAAAAATTAAAATTGCGCTACACACGTTACATATCGCTGCGAACATCGCAGTGAGAGCAATCATTTTAGAGCCATCAATCACTGATAACACTAAACTGATGAGCGGTAACAGCTTTTAAAGCGTCGCCTGTGGCCAATTTTGGGTATTATCGTTTTTTGAGGTTTCGCGCGCGCGCACGCAATTTTAAGGCTTGACATGTTTGGTGTCTTTTTACCCGACGTGACCCCGTCTTTTATAATTTACCAAAAAATTGGGTAATAATAAATGTTTTATCATTTAATATAGGGGAAACTGTTTTTTAAAAAATTTCGGTAATTTTTCCTTAATATAGTAAAAAAATAAAAACCCCCAGTGGTGAATAAATACCACCAAAAGAAAGCTCTATCTGTCCCCAAAAAAGGGAATAAAATTCATTTCAGTACAGCGCTGCATGACGGAATAAATGTCAGTCAAAGTACCGCAGCGCTGAATACTGAAAAATGGCCTGGATGGGAAGGGGGTTTAACACCGCGGATGTCAACTGGTTAACACACTGACACAGGACGTTTGCTACTTTATTAGTCACTTTTGAGAGTTTTTTTTTATAGACAATCACCTTTGATTTACACAAACAGTTGATAATAAGATTGAATTTGAATTTTTTTCCCCACAATATTATTGTTCACTATAATATTTGGTTTTTGCACATATTTGTTTACTGCATTGGGTGACAGCGCAGCTTCACATATTTGAATATTAATGCAGGCTCATGCAGCCAATTAAATTAGCAGCGGTAAGGAGGAACACCCAGTTTTTTAAGAGTAATCGAGCACAGAAGGCTCTATAGAAAAATCACAAAATATAACTGGCTACTACTATTTATTAGAAATAACTGTAGACTATTGAACTAGAGTATAGCCAATTGCTTTGGAGGTCAGAACGTTTTTTTTTTTCTCTCATAGCAATCTAGATCACGCTTTATAATAGCAATGGAATTCCGCTTTTGTGCCTGATTATCAATTTGGGCTGTTTTCTCAGTAACAGATTTGGTTACTGCTATGTCAAAAATTACATTCATAAAAACCATAGAAATAAACACAAAATGACCTGCTTGCTTTTTGAATAAAATGTAAAGAGCCAATGTAAATTGCTTACTTTTATTACACAGCATAAGCAATTCATAAAATGACAACAATTACAGCTGTAGGATGAAAGCATTGGAAAGAGATACCTACAACTAGCTAAATAGTAAATAAATTGCCTGGTTGTTCCCTAGCAACTACAGGGAACACACTGCTTGAGAGCACTTATGACTTACCAAATGTTCTCGCTCATAGATGAAAAATTGTGGAAACACTGGTTTGATTTCCTGCACCGACCATCTTTGTTTCCCATTGCTAGTGGTCTCAAAATTGTTCAAGCAATTTCGAAAATGATTATATGCATCACATGTGACGTCCATGTGCCTTAGAGTAAAGTTGTACCTAAAACAGATGTATGCCATTACAGCCAATTATATAAAACTGGAATATTCAGTCATAACCTATATTTAAAATCTTTCTATTTCTTGTTGTATGTGACGGGTTCACATTAACATTGCAATGCCCCATTGTAGAAGCAAACCTCTATCTATATTCATGCATTTATTTTAAGGAAAAGCAAAACTCTAGCCAAATAACTATATACACTGTTGAAGAACACATGTGTGAGCTGTGTCTTCCTGGCAAAAAAGTTGTACTTGTGTTCAGTCATCCTTGCCATACTACATAACCAAAGGTGAAACCATTTTCCCACAAGACAGAGCAGTTCTGTAGCTTTCCACCTTAGCTCTTTTGATCACTAGGCTTTGAAAGAGCATCTGAGAGTTTCTTCCAGTGCTAATCACCTCCTGCAAGTTGCCTAAACACCTCCAGCACCTTGTGAATGGAATGCCTTAGATTGACAACAATGTTTAATGCAAAACTACTTAATTTCTGGTGACCAGTTGATTATGGGAAGCTAATAAAAAGATAAATGTAAATATACTACTTAAAATAAACATTTAATTATTTTTAAATACATAATACTAAAGTGTGTTTTATATATAATGTCATGACACTTGACACATTTTTCTGTTTAATTCTAGCCTTGTTCTTCTAGTTTCCAGTGTAAAGCTCTGGTAACTGGTGGTTTTTTTAAATCAAAATAATAAACACGGGTTTCTTCTGTTAACATTATCATTACTCCCAAAAACGTTTTTCTTTTTTTTTTATATGACCCACCCCATGCCTCGATTCTCACCTAGGCAATAGGTAACATATTCCCGGAAGCATCAGCTTCCACACAACATGGAAAGATGGGATTGAAACTGTGTCATCAGAGGGCCAGCTGCAAGAACCAGGAACAAACTGCTGGCTCCCGATGATAGGAGAAAGAAAGATGGAGGTGCATGTAAGTATGCTTATTGAGGGTTACCCAGTGAGAAGGTAAAGGTAAATTAAAAAAATATCACAAAGGAGGTGAAATGTCCACTTTGATTAGAGTGAGCCAGTAAAAAGTGACCAGCTTCTGCTGGACTGTTATTAGAAAGCCCAGAATGTTTTGTAAAATGTGTTCCTGGGAGTACCCTCTACTATATGTTTATATCTATAGTGACATTTTTTATACAAGTAATAATAAGGAACATACAATACCAGATTATAATCTTGTAAACATTCCAAAAAGGTTAATAAAATTACTAAAAAGAATGTGCTTTCAAGCAAAATGTCATGTTTTTCCCCCCCATATGGTTACTACACGGGTTTATTCATATAATTTAATCCAATGATCCAGCAATAAAATACAAACCAAAAAAAAAAAAAAGGTCAAGGTTTCACTAAAGTCAAGTGATTTTACCTTGAACACCATGCAGACAAAATAACAGGCTATGTTAGTGCAATAAATGTGTCCTGCTGCACAATTACAAGCCTGGACTTTATGTAAACAATATGCTTACTAAAATCCTGCAGTTCCATGCTATTCCCTGTAGCTATTCTCAATAATAAATATTGCTCATCATTTTAGAAATAAAGTAGATGATTTTGTCACCAAAACTGTAAACAATGTGGTTGTTTTCCATATGAAACCACTGGGACGTTCATGTCAAGCAAATCTAGGGGCATACTTAAGCTGCTTTACTGTGACGCCAGTACCATCCTCTGTGATAAAGAAATAACACACTATCCGGATGTTTTTATGACTGTTTATTTCATTTGCCCTTTACAGTTTACTGCATTAACTACTGTTGCTGTTCTCTCAAACTTCCTTTCATTTATTTCACAGCAGTAGAGATTCATGGATGAGTAGCAAAATAGATCACTGTTACATACCGCACTTATAGACTTTAATTTCGCAGTCATGAAAAGAGCTGTCACAGGCACAGCTGTGTTATAAGCGAATTTACATTATACTGCAAATTTTTATTGTCCATCACAGCTCTAGGTCAACTGGATCTACTGAAACAATCATGAACTGGTTAAACCCATGAATTGTTATACCACTATGCACTGGCAGACAGCATAAAAAAAACAAGAAAAAACTATTTTCCATTTGTGCAACAATAAATATGCATGATATCAAAAATAAATTATTTTCTTAGCTGGAGTTGATTATTTTGGTCTTCTAATCACCTATACAATTACTATTGACTCTGGAAAATTTACTGTAATTAATGGAAAAGTAACTATTCATATTCAAACTGATATTCCCTACATGGAAACTAAAAATAATTCAATGCTCATCACAATAGTAAACAATGAGAAAACATATTTTACGATATACTACTGGTATGCACAAAGTGTTAGGAGGCACTTAAAGACTGTCTATAATAACACGATTTGCCAAAAACTCTGCAAGCCTTTGTAGTTGTAAGCAAATCATGTTCTGTGCGCCTAGGTAGCCTCCAAATCCAGGTGCATTCACCCTCTCCATTCTCCAGTGCAACCTTTACAGTTTCCTCTACCTGTGGCTGCTGGCCCTCTTCTGGCTTAAATGATACTCAGCATCATTCAACCCATTCCCAGTGAACCCAGGTGATCATGAACACACTGCCAGGGGGTGCATCATCACGTTGGTCTGGGCTTACAGTCAAGGGCGGACTGGGCCAGGGGGCAGGGTGGCATTTGGCCTCCATGGCCTCTCTGATGCCGTGACGAACGGCCCCTTGACCCCTGCTGCCACCTGCACCCGGCCGCATCCAATGTGGCTCTGAGATCGGCGCGGCCGCTGCTCCTCAAGGGGTGCTTGGGAGGCCCTCTAACATGCCGAGGCCCCGTCTACCTGGTCCAGCCAGCCCGGATCGCCTCGGTATGCGATCAGGGCTGGCTGGACCAGGCAGACGTGGCCCT